TTCCTCTACGGCTGTCTGCTACACCTGACAACAGAGGTTAGATTTTACTCTCCAAACATATCATTCAAATTTTTTAGCCAGTGTAAATCCTTACAATATTTTAATTTACGTTTCTCCAGATGTAAACTCTTCCTCCTCTGCCACCACAGAAATCACACCACTGGAGCCTATGGATACAAGTAAGTCGGTATTATATGATAGAGTAATTATTAATTAATTTACCATCCTAACCTAATAGTCTGCATGCCGTGATAAAGGTGAGGTGTCAACTAGTCTATTGATTGACACTGTAAAAGCACTGAGTCTGCCCACGTATTCATTCAATTTCTATGCTCGGTAAATCTGACTTCGAAATTATTTGTGCAACGAATGTCAATAACACTTATGTGAGTGACGAGTTTAGCCAACTGCACAAACTGCACAAAACCCCAACGACGCAACTCTCCTCCCCCTCCCCCCCGCTAAGCTGGTCCGTTAAGGTTGGCGAGGTTGGCAGTCTGTTGTCGTGTCGAGACCCGCGCAACTACAAATCTACGAATTTGCCCAAGTTGTTCGGGCTATGTTCCGCCTGTTAAAAACCAGTCATTTGCTAATTATTGTTGTTTTCTACATATGACAATATTTATCGCCAACACTGATTTTACAGTTCGATTCAATTTTTAAGATTTGTGATTTTTGTCATCAATTAACTTTGTTGTAAATTAACTCTGTTGCTAGGCTTACCATCCGTCCTTGAAATTACTCAATCACATCCCGCTCCTTTGGGGAGAAGAGGGGCCAAGAGAGAGGTGCGCCGGGTAAAGAGGCTGGCAAAGAAGGAAGTTGGGAAGAAGGAGGATGATCATCAGAGCCCGAAGATGTCATCTGGCCAAGCAGATAGGAAGAGAGAGAAGCAGAGGCTGAGGAGACAGCGGAGAAGGGGAACTGCACCTGCTCAACAACAAGAATATTCTCTTTAGCTTTAAGGCTCAGCCAAAAACAATGTGATACCTTCATGATGAGCTATTCTATTGTAGCATGACATATACCTGGCATGAATCAGATTAAGGTACGAGTTTTATGGTCAGTCAAATACTGCTGACTTCCCCATTTTTTTTTTTTTTGCACCCAGTTGCAAATATTTTCTATTAGCATTTCCATGTTCACTCTGATATTCAATAGGTCCATATTCATTTTTTTCTGTGTTCTGGCTTTTAATTGAATTAGGTTTATTTAGGCATTTTCTTAACCCACATGTTTTCCACTCCTTTTTTTTTTGGAAGTCTTATGTTTACATCTGTCATTTCTTTCATGCATAAAGAAAAATGGTTGTTTTCTTATAACAGCAGTAGTTTATGAATTTCTTCAAGATTTGAAAAACCATGTTGCCTCTGGATGTTATATTTCCTTTGTTTTGCTGAAATACGAAGCAAGATTGAAGTGCTGGTTCACTTTATGTATTTGCTAGTTATAATGGAACATGGTCACCATTACTTTTTGTTTTGTCTTTTTTGTAATTAGCAAGATTTTTGAGCATTTACTAGTTTTTTCATCACAAGATTTGTCATCAACATGTAAAGTAATGATTTTTTCCTAATTGGTTTCTGGACCTCTCATCTACAGAGATGTATGCTCAGACCGTTCATTACTGCCTTGATTTGGGCTTTACGCAGAAAGATTTTGTTTTATGATTTACCTGCACCAGCATCTGGATTGCTGTTCCATCACTCTAAGAGTGCATTGAACTGGTCATTGGCTGTCTTTACCTCTCCCAATTCTCTTTAGCTTTAAGGCTCAGCCAAAAATAAAACAGTATTAATTTGAACTGTCCTCTTTAATTGAAGTGTTCCTTAGGGGGAAAAAGAAAAGTAAATGAGTACAACAATAATCACACAAAGCAACCAGCCTCTAATTAAAACTACAAAGGAACATCTCCAAGCGAAACCTGAGTACATACATTTGAGAGAATCCTTCCCCTTTGAACAATTCACACCATTATGCTACAGGGTCCGAACAACTTCACAGCAAATCATCTGTAAAACAAAACACAATTCTAAAATAAGTCAGTTTACTACTTTCACAGATATCTTCAGGAAAATGAGAACTTGTTCCAGAAAAATGAAAAGAGGGTATCAATCAGTATACCATGTTCAAAACTTGTTATTTTTATTATAAGAAGGAAGTGGCAGTACATAATACAACACAAAAGTTTTCTAATGCCTTGTTTGGCACAAGACAATGAAAAGTTGTAATGAACAGCTGTAGTGATTCTTTGGTTTGAAATTTTAGTACTGATTTTGACACTTTTAGCATTTATATCAGATGAAATCAGAAATTTAAGCCATCAAGCAAAGAACAAATGTTTGGCTCAAAAAGAAAAAGTCAAGACTTTTGTTGTTCTACCACCCAACATCTGACTCATCCTTTTCAAAACTGAATACCATGGAATTTAATTCCACTAACAAAACTATCTCGAACAAAAAACCTTTGAATGAGGAAATTTTTCCATGGTGCAACAACGGTTTTGTAATACTATTTATTGATTCTCAACATTCACTAAGAGTAGTCTTGCAGTAATTCCAAGATGGAGAGATATCTTACATTTGACACTTGACCAGTACAAAAATGTGACCATTTATATTGCAGATTTAGTCTAGTACAACCTATTTGTTTACCTCGCCACAAGTATGCTGCTATCGTCTTCAAATGCTGGAGAATACAGTCACTGTCAAAACTTGACATTTTGATCACTGCAATTCCTAAAACATAAAGATAATCATGAACAATGAACAGTAATTTAGAGTACAAACAGTTTATTCCACAAATAACATTCTCAACAATACAAACCTTTCCTGTTGATTTTTTTTTTGGACAAACTTCATCTTTGTTTCATATCAAGTAGTACTTTCTTACAGTTTCCAAGTGTATTTGTTGCTTTTAGGCCCATAATATGGAATTCCAGAGTTGAAACAGCCCTCAGAACTGAAAAAGAAAAAAGTGATTAATTCCCCCCCCCCCCCTCTTCTCTTACTAATATAGATTACCATAAAACTCAACTTTTTAGGCTAAAATCCATATAAAATGCCATTTCCTTACATTGTCCAAGTCCATCCACTGCTTTTCAGATGTTAAAATTAAATCCAAGAGTTGAAACTCAAGTGAAAATAAATATAGCGTTTGGACGCTATCCAACCTCGGAAATCTTTGAGAATCACATCTCCAGAGGTGTTGGTCAATCTAATCATGAAGTGACACCTGAAATAAGTAGAATTGAAATGAAATCCAGAGCATTTAGTAGTTTAGAATGTTACAACACCATGAGTTTTAGTCAAATTAGCCAAATACGTATCAAAATTAGGGAAGTCAAAAACACAACATTTGAAGTTGAAATTCATATCAAATAGTACTTCTGTACAATGTCCAAGTGTATGTGCTGATTTAAAGCCCATAATATAGAATCCAAGTGTTTAAATTATCCCAGATCTTATATAAGACTTCGCCATAGCCCCATTCCTCAAAATCGATTAAGTTCGACATCACCATCTCAGCTTTTAGATGCATATTTATATTTCTGTCCACAAATGACAGAACCACTTTACTGATGTATCAACTCTTTCCTTTAGTTTGTCAAACCATACAATTTCACTTCCGATGTTCCTAATTTATTACTGACGGGAGGTATTTAAAGGAGATTAATAGATTAAACAACACCTAGTACAACTTCTTTGTTTACCTTGCCACAGTTTGCTGCTATCGTCTTCACAATGAGCATACAGTCACTGTCAGAACTTGACATTTTGATCACTGCAACACCTTAAACATAAAGATAATCATGAACAGTAATTTAGAGTTCAAACAGTTTATTCCACAAATATCGTGCCCAACAATACAAACCTTTACTGTTGACTTTTTTTTTTGTGAACAAACTTCATCTTTGTTTCACTTTTAATCAGTGCATTCTGACAGTCATTCTATTGAAATGTTTTGATGCTTGATTGTAAACAGGGAGTAAGCAGCTAGGTATGACACTGAAGAACCAATAATTTGTCTTTGTGGTTGATATGTCAGCTGATACCGGAAAATGGTAGTCCTGATACTGATTACTTCAATAATCCACCTAACAGTAAATAAATGTGTGATGAATGTGGTTTAAAAGACACTTGCACTTGAAAGACCAATATGATACGGGTATACGGAGTGAGAGGTTATGAGATTTTATGAAACTTTCAAGTAATATCTTACATAGCTTACCAGGCGACATGGAAGGTCCTATCACAGTTTGCATATTACTATTTCCACAATACGGCCACTTGCAAGACAAATCACTCGCCTCACTTTTACAGAAACACCATTTGCATTTTCGATCACTCCGTCACATAAAGTCCATGTGTGAAAGTAAACGAAGGGAGTAAACATAAACAAATGAGGCAAAAACTATTGAAGGCCCAGCAGCAGACAGAATCCAAATATTCAGGCCCGCGGTTCAGTTGTGATTTTTCGCTGACTAGATCGAATCAGAACACGATCGCACATTATGATATTTACTCGTTCTTTGTTGTTATTGAAAATTATCACATGAAAACAAACTTACAACAATGACGTCACTGAGCCACCGTTATTGGCACTACAGTACCCTCGACGTGGACATCGAGGTATCGCGGGAACGACCACACTCGAGAGTATACTGCGTTACAAACCCAACTCATTACGTCACTTCCGGCCGACACTCGGGCGAATTTCGAATGTTACCATAGACGTCCCTGGGCCAAGTTGCGCGGTCTTGACCAGACCCTTTCACTGTGTACCGAATCATACGTGTAATAACCCGAATCACATGTGAAAATAAAACATTGCTTGACTCTTCTGAACAAAAATATGAATGGGCGTTTCAAACAAGTTTCGACCAGTTTTCTCGACCAGTTTCCGAGGATGCGATTTCGACCAGTTTTCCATTCGACCAGTTTGGATACACCCCGCCTGTCTCGGGACTGACATAGTGCGTCATTTTAAAAGCCGCATGATATAAAAGTCGTCGTTCGGGGAAAATCAAGCGCGACGCAACCGCGAATTTTGCGAGGTGTGCGGTGCGCGGGGTATCGACGACGCAAACTGCGCGCGACGATATAACGACCTCCACGAAATTTCAGAGTGCTGTGTACACTTTATCGGGGGGCTTCGCAAATTCGCTGAAAACACCATGAAGTATGCGATGAAGCGGAGTAGCAGCGTTGCGGTTCCGCGAAAGCAGCAGCAGTGCGAAACCTCAGCAGCAAGCTACCGCCATAGCGAGCTACGGGGTGTGGGGCGGAGGGGCGGGGGAGGGCTGCTCCTTCATTATTCTCCTTAAACTCGTTTTGTTTGCCGTAATTAATCTCACGGTGCTCGCTGCTGAGGCTTCCGCGTTATGGTCTTGTGAGGCCCCTCGACCACCTTGATGACAGCCAAGGCGGAGCGGGGCCGACCTAACCTAGCTAAACAAATACGCGCGCGCTCCGGCGGACTGAAATTGGCGAATTACGAAGAGCCCGGCGGCGGCGGCGAGGGCGGCGACCAGAGTTGCGGCGGCGGGCGGTGGTGCGAACCTGCCGCCTACCCTGCCGCGCGTGCGAAAAGAGAGTAAGACGACGGACAGAGGAAGGCGGGATGGATTCGTTTATGTAAGCGCGCACTCGAACCCGCGCCCACTGTTTGGTTAATTCCCTTTTTTTGCGTCGTGTTTGTCGTGTGTTTGCTTTCGCCGTAAGCGAGAGTAGCGCATTCAACCGTTTGTGCTGCTTTGTGTAGCTCTCCCCCCGCGGGCCCGCTCGGCTTGCTCGGGGATTTTTTTTATTCCGTTTGCCGCTTTGTGCGTCATCCCTCCTGCATCGCGCCCTCGAATTGTTTTTAATACTGCTGCAAAACGGTTTCTAATTGTTGGAAAAGTAGGGAAAGGTGCGCATAAAAAAGATTGAAAGAATACTCGACCAAAAAACGAAGAAAACTGGAAAACAGCTGATTGACTGTACGGTGTCCATAATCTAGCTTGCACTGTGTGTGTATGTGTGCGGGTTGAGAGAGAGAGAGAGAGAGAGAGAGAGAGAGAGAGAGAGAGAGAGAGAGGAGGGGGGAGGGAGTGGGCTTCAGGATTCTCTCGGAAGTAAAAAGAAACGGCGGGGATATCGCGGTATAGCGACCCAACTAATGTGCGGATTACGTTCCCCCATCAGCCTACTTTGCATTATGTAGTGGGGCGGAGAGTGTTTCGGGGGGGGG